ATATATAAATATATATTGTGTAGTTGAGTCAGAAGAAATTACAATCTTTGGAAACCAGATGACTATATCATCCTAACTACTCTTCATATGTGAATAAATTCAGAGCACACTACAATACTCAATGCAAAAGGTATTGGACTGTCATAGATAAATCTCCACAACTGACCCCAGAAGTTGACCTCTACAGAAGTAAGGTTGAGTATGTGGTGGGATCTTCAGAATATTATTTATTTATAGTACTTAAAATGTAATAAAAAACTAAATGCACATTTGTGTCCAGCAGCTGCAATGTGCCCATAAAGGTTTGGTTGGAAAGTCTCCTGTTCTTGTCAGTAGGAAAAATATCAACACAAAGCCATATAGAGCAAGAATAACATAGGAAAAATTTTTTAAAACTCTATTGATTTGTTCTGTCTCATCCCTATATTCACCTGAGCCTGCACCAGCCATTTATTACCTTTTTTGCTCACTTCTTTGATAAGGGAAACATTCTATAATGAAAACCAGATTTAAGTTTCATATCAATAAAATCCAAATAGAATCTGCAATGTTATTTGTCCTAACCTGGCATCCTAGTTTCAGTCACTTTCTCATCACCATAATGTAGCTTCCCTGTGCCTTTTCTATAACTACTTCCATGGTAATTTTTCTGATGAACTTTGCTTTATGGTAACTTTATGAATTTAAGCACAGCAAGATCTTATGATTTTACTGTTGAATTAGCTAGATGTAACTGTAAGTTCTATGCTAACAGTTTCTTTTCCTGCACTTCTCGCCTGTGGAACACTCTTCCAGCTCCATGCTTTCCCGCCAACTTTGATCTTCCAAAATTTAAATACAATGTTAATCACTATCTACTGTCCTCTTGATTACTCTTTTATTGTTTTTGCACCTTAATAAGGTTTTTCTTCTTTTTTTTTTTTTTATTCTTTCACACTCAGTAACCCCTTATGTCTCAGTGGCTTTATTGTCTTGCCTGGGGTAAAATGATTAAATAAAACAGAAAAAAACCTGCAGAACTGCCTGATAAGTGGCAACAATTCATTGCATAATGGTGGATATATAATTGAATAAAATGTCATTGTACTTTATTTTTTTAAGAATAAAATTGATAAATTAAAATGGGAATGACAAACTACATCTGGCAGCACACATCTGATCGGAGATTGGAGGTTTTGAGGAGTGTGGGACCCTCTGTTAATTGCTGTTTTTCCCAGAGCCACCCTGACTCATGGTAGTAGCATCTGCTAGGTTCCTAGCTATAGTCAAATAGTGAACACCTAAACAAAAGCAAAACACTACAAAAGTACAAAAATACATTTTTATAGTAAAAATACCAGCAATGCATTTTTTATTTAAAAAAACTCAAAAAAAACCAACAATACATTTTATCTCTCGTTGAAGCCATAAAATTGTGTTCAAAATATTTAGATTTTGATATTAAATCACCCATAGAGATTGATATGCCGCTAAATGAAATCAATCAACCAACCAAAATATAAATTATTTATGACTCATTCTAATAGAATGCTGCTGACACTGAATTTGAGTTACATTGGTATTCATCCTTGTTTCACTATGACTATCAAATGTTATTGACTCTTTTTCGCATCAAAACCTGCAGAATTTTTACTCAAGATATTGATGAGCTGACTTATAAGTGGCAACAAGTTATTGCAGATAATAGTGAATAAATAATTGAATAAAAAGTAATAGTACTTCTATTTTTTTTTTTTTTTTTTTTTTTTTTAAGAATAAAGTTGATAAACAAAAATGAAAATTATTTACAACTCATCCTTATATAGTTACCACCTGTGCATGCTTTACATACCTGATATACTTTTGAGAGCTTTAAAAAACAAAAAAGGAGAGAGTAAAGTAGCCTTGTAATTGTTTGTCTCTATTTTTAATACCATAACTGCAAACATCTGATGAATTTATAGATTGGGGTACAAACAGTAGTCTATCAAGTGTTGCATTGAAATGAATTATTTGACCTGATAAGCTCTGAATAAAGGAAGATAACGAAAAACATAAAATTGGCATACAGAATGAAAGGTATTTCTTTTATGCTTATGTTTTCTATTACTGGATTAGTAAACAAATAAAATGTTCAAAACTTACCTCTTGAGTTTAGCAGGTGATATCCACTTATTGGTTGGGGGGGGAGTAAAGAGTTGAGTTGAATAAATTCATTTGAACTCTGATGAGTATCTACCATTTGTTGATCAATTGAATGATTTCTTTTCTATGTTTTATCAACCCTTTACAGGTTATTTAAAGCCAGAAAATATTTTTAGATTGTAAGAATTTTGTTTTTCTGTTTTTGAGATAATAATGATTTAGTGATACAAGTTTTACTAATTAACCCATTTTGGGGGGTGAGGGAGAAGAGGTGAATTCATACCCTTCCCAAGGTTGTTTGCATGTAAGTAAATGTAATGGACCCAACTGGAATTGGAACTTGGCTCTCCGATTAACAATTCCGATCCATTATCCATTACAGCACCTGGTATTCTCAAGTGGTCACCCACTGAGGTAGTGATCAGACTTGACGTTGCTTAACTTTGGTGATCCTATGGGAACTGGTGTTTTACTGGTGTGTCTTCTGTGAAAGTTTGAGTCACGAAGATAAGTTTTGAGCATTGTTTTTTTTTTTTTATTTGTTTTCTTTTAATGCTCTATGGTTTAAAGACTTTACTTACAAAACCTGTTCACTTTAATAGCATTATTTTAATTATTTTAATTATTCTCTTGCACTTCTTGTTTGTGGAATTCTCTTTTGGCTTCTTGTTCTCCTGCCAACTATAGTCTTCAAAAATTTAAAGCAACATCAATCGTCATTTTCTGTCTCTGGGAATCCTGGTCTTTTATTGACATCTCTTCAATAACATTTTCTCACTTTTTTTCACTTTTAATCTCTTGCATCTTAGTGGCTTTATCACCTTATTTTTCTTAAAAAAAAAAAAATGAACTGATTGATGGTTTTTTTTTTTTTTTTTTTTTCTCGAGACACAAGTTTTGTTTCTGTTATGTTGATGTTGCACATTGATGTAGTCAATGAAAATTCTGTTCTTGAAGCAAGACTCAACTCAAAAACTTTTCAGTGAATCTTTTCAGAATAAAGAATGAGTTTTCTGGAGGTCTACAATTTTCGTCTCAGTTTTAATTTTTCCTAAGTGCTCTTAAAATTTTCTAGGTGGTGTTCCAAGTGAATTACTTTAGTCATGTTTCATAGCTTCTTCAGTTCTCTAGCCAGATCCTGGTATTTTTCTCTCTTTCCAGTTTCTTTGGAATCTGCTCTTGTATCATATGGAACATCAAAGACAATAATTTGACACTTGATATTCTCCTTATCTATAACTATAAGGTTGGGTTTTTGTACTTTAATAACATGAGAAATCCCATAATCTGGACTGATAAATCTCATATCTTGTGACTGTTATTTTCTAATACTGCTTCTGGCTGATATTCATACCATTTCTCTTTCATATTGAAGCTATTTTTCTGCAATTCTTTATAATGGATTTTCTTACCAATCAAATTATGTTGCTTAGATTCTTTGTGCCAATTTGGAACATTCATAAAGTATGTGTTTAAATGTTTTATCAGCTTGTCCACACATCCTGCATTTGCTTTCTCTTTGTTTTTCTCTGCTTATCATGGCATTGATTGCATTCATCCTGATGGCCTGTGACTGTGCTGCAAATAAGTAACTCTGTTTCTCCCTTTATAAAACCTTTTACTCAAAGCCACCTCTCGGTTTCAGCAATTATTTTTTCTGCTGAAGAAGCTGACCGTGAAGCTTCTTTTTTTTTTAATTTGTCATGCCGCTTATGCAGCTTATATGCTATAATCACTGGTTCAACATTTCACACTTCCAGATCTTACTCCACCTTTCCTGAAGATGTCTGAAGCAAATCATGAGAACTCTTAACATAATTCTGAAGACCTAGAATTGCCAATGACAAATTCTTCAACACTCATTGTTATTATTATTATTGCTGGATTATATAGATTTTATTCGGTTCAGCTGGTAGGATGACAAATAGATAACTCTGAAATGCCATCTATAAGAATAAGTTTTATTATCATATTTCTTTGAGAAAAATTTGTAAGAATGAATTTTTTATGAAATATGACTTCTTTGTCTTGCTTTTTCCAATGACATGAAGTGGAGTGATTATATTGAATTTGAGATCTTCTGATAGGAAAAATTGGTTCACTGTGTTGTACTGGAGAATTTTTTTTTGTCAGAATCTATCTTACACATTTATAAATCTACCATTTATCTGTGCATTGAATTTTGTTATCATATTTGGTCTGGTTCTCCTGCTATATATCTTGAGATTCTCAGCAAAAGGGTATGTAATATCATCAATTCTGACCTGTGTTCTCGACTTTAGTCACTTTCTCACAGACATAAAATGGCATCCATTTCTATAAATATTTTCATGGAAATTGTTCTAATGAGCTCTCCACCTTGATACCTTGTTGCATGAAGTATACTATTAGATTGGTAACTAGATTTCATCATTCTACTGATGAATGAATTATATTCTAATAGTTTTTTTTCTTGCACTTTTCACTTGTGCAATTCTCTTCCCATGTCTTGCTTTCTTGTTACCTATAAACTTCAAAACCTTAAAGGCAACATCAATAGTCATCTTCTGTTTTTCTGAAATCTGTTCTTTTATTGTCCTTTCTCTTCACTCTGAGTAACTCATTGCATCTTAGTAGTATTATCACCTTGCTTGGGGTGAAATGATAAAAAAAAACAACTATTCTTGACTAACAACAATGGGGACAGAACACATATTTATAATACATTAAACTTTATGAATATTTAAACTATTGTGGATTGAATAATATCTTCCATATCTATAATTTATTTTGCATGTTATATCATAAGTTATAGAGATAGTTTTTTTTTTTCTGTTAAATATTATTTATGGGTTTATATTGACTGTAATAACATATTTTTGATGTAACACTTAGTTGCAGAATTTGAAGCAGTTTCAAATTTCACCAGTGTTTGAATTGTTTATTTTCTTGCAGTATTATGGGTATGATATTTCAGTCACTTGATTTGTGTGTGTGGAAAAAAAAAATGCTGTTGTCCTTTTTTTTTCCCTTTTATATTTCCCATCGCACACACCACAAACTAGTAACATATCTACATATGAAGCATCTATTATATTAAAACTAACCTATGTTTACAATCTGGCTACTCTAACTTGGAAGATGGTGATTTTCTAAGTGTAGCTTAGATGTGGCACAAGGCCGAATGTGTGGAACTCCCAGTGAGGATCGAATTCACTATTCAGTTGTAATTGATCTAGCAAGGCAAGCCTGCTATTTGTTACACCATGTCGAAGTGTCCCTCCAATTTAGACTTGCAATCATCCTCTTTCTTACTCCCCCTCTCCTCATGCCATTTTAATTAAAAAAATAAAAGTTTTTTTTAGATCCAACAAACAAATCTGCTATGTTATAACTACAGCTACATTTTTAGTTTTAATCTAAAGTTTTTATTTTTTGTTTTGTTTTATTATTTTACCCCAAGCAAGGCAATAAAGCCATTAAGTTACCAACAATAAAAGGTAATAGAGTGAAGGAAACTGAGAATATGTTACTGAGGAGAACGGACAAAAAAAAAAAAAAAAAAAAAACAGGATTCAAAGAGACAAAATATGGTACATGTCATTGCATTTAAATTTTTGTTGATTGTAGTTAACAGGAAAGCAAGAAACTGGAAGAAAGTTCCACAGGTGAGAAGTGCAAGAGAAGAAACAATTAGAATAAAACTTACAGTTGTATTTAGATAATTCAGCAGTAAAATGATGAGACCTAACTGCCAATATAGTACTGCACTTAAATTCATGAAGTCAAGGTACCAAAGAGGAAATCTCATCAGAACAATTGTCAATATTTGTAGAAAAGGTACAGGGATGCCATGTTATAATAAATTGATCTAATGAATGCACTTGCTCCCAGATCTTCATATAAGCAACAAATTGCTTACATGCTAAAACATTTTCATTTTGAGCTTTTGTTAGATTAAATTCCATACAGTCAGAAATTTATAAATACATAAAATCTACAGCGAGATCTGTTGAACTTAAGTTTACAACCTGTTGATCCATGTCTCCTTTGCAAATAATTCTTATTCTTAATGGCTTCATATAACCATAAATTCTATTCTAATAGTTTCCTCTCATGTACTTTGGAGCTTCCTTCTGGTTTCCTGCTTCCCTGCCACCTACGATCTTCAAAAATTTAAATGCAATGTCAGTCGCCATCTTCTGTCTTCCTAAATTCTATTCTTTTATTGTCCTTTCTCTTCTTGCTTTCTTTCACTCTCAGTAACCACTTGCATCTTAGTGACATTATTGCCTTACTTGGAGGTGAAATGATTAGAAATATTATCAATATTATAAAAGAACTGATTCACTGTCCATCACCTACTAGCTGTATGTGTGTGTATTTAATGTGTATGCTGTGTGTGAGTGGCTTGCATGTTCTTGTCATTTAATATGCTCACAAGTGCATGCACTCACACACAATGCATTGTAATAATACATTCTCTCTCCTATTCAGTTTGGACAACTCTTATCCTGGGCTGAACAAAAATGTTTTTTTTTGTTTTTTGTTTTTTTTTTACCCTAAAAAAAAATTACATAAGAGTTTGCTGAATTTGGGAGGAATTATTGATAAAAAAAAAATTAAAGTTTTTGTTTTTCTTAAGTAGAAATATTTTTTAGGTCTGCCATTGGATGAAAATATTTATACTTACATGCAACCATACATAAACACAATTTGAATGAAATTAATATTTGTGCTGAGAGTGCTTATTTCTCTCCCTGTCAGGCAACAACCCCTGGGTAACAGGAAGGGCTGCCTTTTGAATTCATTTTTTATTATTGTATTTAAACTTATATTTCCAAATTATATTTTTTCATATTGGAAAAGGATGTGCTCTGTTTTAATTTTCCGGTTTTGGTAGCCCAAAAGTGATAAATTATTTTACATTGTACAATCCCTTTCCCAGAGATGAAACATGGCAAGCCTCCTGCTGTTCTATTGCGATTTCCATGAAAAGTGTTGAAACTACGTTACTTAGTATCACCAGTTCTAACCTTCACAGGAAATATTCCTGAATAAAAATCCAGTTTTCACATTAAGTAACCTAGAGGTTGATATACTGGTTAAACAAATCAATCTAACCTTCATGGCTATGACCTGCCATAGCACACATATTGTAATGAACCACCCTCATTCCATTGGTGAGATCTAAGTTCTATTTGAACAGTTTCTTGTGGAACTGACTCCCAAGAGGATACTTCCCCAATGATGACAACCTTAAACCATTCAAGTCTAGGATTAACTGTTATCTTCCCCACATATATCCTCATAAACAGTACCTCTTATTCTGTAACATAAATACTGATAGCATGAAAATAATATAAATAAGATCTATCCCTCAATTTTGTAAGGCTCTTAGTTATGTAAATTTAAGTATTTAATAGCACACAAACATGCATGCACACACACACATACAAATATATATATATATATTTATAACAGTTACTGCAAAGA